TATATATATATATATAGCTTTGCATAACAGGAACAAATTCAAATAGAAAACATTTTAAGTTGAAATAATATTTCAAAAAATTACTGTTTTTACTGTTTGTGATCAAATAAAAGCAACCGGGGTGAGCATTTTTCGCTGTTTCAAAATTAAAAAAAAAAATCTTAGCGACCCCAAAGTCTTTTCTAGCCATATGACAGCTCTTTGTTAATAATAGACTAAAATGTAAAACATATTTACATTTAATTCTTGCCCATTTTAGTTTTCAAAACAAATACAGTGGCTTTCAATGCATTACATCAGTTAGACATCATTATTTCTGGCGTTCTACATGACCAAAGCATTAATATAAGATTAATGATTGAATATATATCAAACCTATATTTGATTTAAGAGTTATGTTTGATCTATTTCTATTTTGGAATATTGTGCAAGTTGGTTAAGAGCAGCCAGTACATTCTAAAAATATTTCTTCTTACACAGAATAAAGAAAGTCATGAGAGCGAATAAACATTTGGATGAACTATTCCTTTCCCACAATATGTTTTACGTAATGGTGTAATACGTAGGAATTAGACAGCAGTCATATGGTCTGTTTCATCTCACCCATTTGGCACTCCTTTATTAATTCTCATCCAGGCATGTTAAACCCTTATTATTATTCCTTCTTGTAACACATAACATTCCCTAAATTGATTATTCTTTTCTCTATTTCTCTCACCCCCATGTCACTCTCTCTCCTCTTGTGTGCATCTGTAACTGCTCTATTAACCCCACACTTGTCCTCACGCCCCTCCTGGTTTGAGTGCATCTGTTTGCAGTTTAGAGATGGCTAAACTGAGCATCCAGGCAGCGTCGTCCTCCTCTTCCAGTACACCTATCAACCTCAGCCTGGGCTTCTCCCAGTCCACCCCCTCCACCACCTCTTCCATGGCCGTCCTGGCTGCTCCCCCCTCTGCTATTAACGTCCACTCGTCCATCCCCAGCGCCCATTACGCATTGCCTGTTTCCAGCCTGCTTGGCATGAAAACCGTGCCCCTGCTGGCAATGCACACAGCCACCTCCGCAGGCCTCCCGGCTGGCCTCACACCCTACACCACAAAGATCCCCACCTTGTCCAGCATCAAAAAATCAGAACAGCAGAAGTTTGCCCCATACTGAGCGGCCGCGGTCTTTAAACTCATCAGTAATGTTGTATTTGTTTATTAGTCATTCATGAATATTAAGTAGATTGAAAGTGTCCCCCCCCGCCCCCTATTTTTGTAATGTTTCTGTGCAATATTTCGCAAGCAAGGAATAGTGAGTGCATGACAAGATTAATCGCTCCTTATATTGTCTTCCATTTTATGTAGCGTTTCATTCGGAAGTGTTTGAGATATCCATCTCACACCATAAAATTTATCTGACACTGAACCTGTTTTGTTTTTTTCAAGAAAAGCCAAAGCCAGCAAGAACTTGATTTATTGGTACTACGCAGCTCACAGTGTTGTGTGTGTATATATATCTTGGAGTGATCTTTAATGTGCTGATTAGAATGGCTGTCATCATTGTTATTGTATCAAGTTCAATATACAAAGTCATTTAAAAGAGAGTGATGCTCTGCCTCTCATACTGATGTTGTTATTCAGACTTTGACCTACTTTAATAATATAACATTATATCAGAACATACATTTTTTTGCAAATACCATTTTTAATTAATACTGCAGAGACACAAAGGCACATCCTAGTACCAGGGCGCCAGAGTTGGGGACAACCAGGAAAATTGTACTGGGCCAGGTGATAAGGGGTCCTGCTAAGGCCCTTTTAATGGATGGATGCCATGGATAACATGACAATCCCTTTGAGAGTGACACTCATACTAAAATATATTTAGCAGCTCAAGTGTGATATTATATTGTTTCCAAAATTAAATAACTGGCTTTTATATTGTCACTGTTAACAGCAAGAATATCTGAAAATATTTACTTTATATTAGGATCACACTGAATCTTTTTTAACTACTCTACTAGTACTGTTAGATGTATAAACCCGAGAAACATTTTCAAATTTATGTGTATAGTGATTGCCAAATAAAAATATTTATTTAACATCGTAAGTTAACATGTTAACTTTAGTAGCGCTTACCATTCAAAAATTTGGGGTCAGTAAAAGTTTTAATTTTTTTTAATTTTTTTTATAAATTAATACTTTTGTTTAGCAATGATGCATTAAATTGATCAAAAGTGACAGTAAAGACATTTATAGTGTTACAAAAAGATTTTATTTCAAATAAATACTGTTCTTTTGAACTTTCTGTTCATAAAAGAATCCTGAAAAATAAAAAATGTCTCATGGATTCAAAAAATAAAAAAATAAAAAACTATGCAGCCCAACTGTTTTCAACATTGATAATAGTAGGATCATGAGACATTGAAGACTTGAGTACAAAATATTGGTTTAAAAATATCAAATAGAAAACTATTGTAAAACTATTTCGCAATACAGATTATACTGTATTTTTGATCAAATAAATGCAGACTTGGCAAGCATAAAAGTTACAAGAAAAAAACTTCATACTTCTGAATAGTAGTTTATGTGTTTAAAAAAAAAAATTCTGTCTAATTTCCGTGGCCCACTAGCACTCGCTCGCAGCCTATGGGGGTCCCAGGACACCAGCCTGAAATGCCCTAGTAGAGCCAACACTATGTTTGTTAAATGTTATTTTGTTCTCTCAGCTAAGATAACTGATGACACTATGAAACTGTGACACAGCAGACCCATGCTTCTCATGCCCAGCAGGGCTAATTATCAAAAATATAACTTGATCTGTTCTTCTGTATCTGATTGTGTGTTTTCCTCCTAGGCTGTCCTCAGTGATAGCAAGTCTGAGGCCTCTGTAGTGCAACATTTACAGCTTTTATCATTAATCTGTGATTGGATTACCCTTAAGCCATAGTGGACTCTTATGGATTTAAGAAATCCTGGCTACACGATGAAAATTGTTTTCTAACTTGAAATCCATGTATTAAACAGATGCGCTGCAACTGTATTTTTTTTGTTTTTTTTTGTTTCAACCATTCAATGTAAGACATTTTTTGAGACATATTTGTGTTTGTTTTTAGATTGCTTTTTGAAAGTCTGTACACATTTTGCGGTTAATGTACGACAAATCATCAATGTGCTTTTGACATTAAATGTATATTTAACAGCTTTTTATTAGTACACACAGACTTTCTAGTTTAATTTTATATCCAAAGATGATGTCCGGATACTGACATTCTCAGACTTGGCATTGCATTTATAAACCTTTAATGAAATTAAACATTCACTGTTTCATTGCATTTCAGTGCCTGACCTGTTGTGGTTGAAGTTAAAAGGTAAAAAGCAAAGAGTTTTCATGGTGCTCCAGATGCATATCTGCTGCCTTGAGTCTTTCAATAATACATGCAGTGCTTAAAACAGGGTTATTTTAGTTAACATAAGCTGGTCTTCAAGAACCAGAAAGCACACTAGGGAAAGCAGTTTTCATGCATTGTACGTGATTTCTATTTGTGTTGTAGAGAGCTTATTTTGTCCTCCTTATCCATCATTTGTTTCTGATGGATGTTTGCTGTTTTGTAAATGCCATCAGTACGTCACTGGTTTACTGGAGAACAGACATAGTGACAGGCTGAATGCTATTCATCTCAGTCAGACAAAGAACATAAAATTCCCATTGGATCTGTGGATACTGCTCGAACAAACAGTGCATCAAAGCCACTCATTTTCATTCATTCGGCATCCACATTCATTTAAAACTGCATGCTTTTTCATGACTCATCATGTGCGCTAATAATTTCCTAAGACATATGAATGCATTATGACATAAGCTTTACCTTTATCATGGATGTTTCACGACAGCCTTCTTTCTAGGGTCCTCTGACTCCCCTAGAAAGAAAGAAAGAAAGAAAGAAAGGCCTCCATGAATATTGATAGTTTGTCTGAACTTTTTACCCTTTAGCAGAAATGTCCACAGAGACATCAGTTGGTTCTAGACAATAAACTTTGTCTTGCAAAAATCGGAATGAACTTTTCGTCACCCTTGTTTTAGAAACCACCTTTTCACAGATACTGCTGAGACAGGTTTCCCTGCAGGTTGCTCAATCATGCATGTGGCCTGAGTGAACCATTACCACACTGTCACTCACTGCATGTAGAGCCCTTGTCCTGTTCTCAGGGAGCAGAGGCCCCAGTCAACATTAATAAAATAACTTCTGCTTTTAGGAAAACACTCTCACACTAAGACGTTTGGCCAAGCCTTGAGAAATTGTCTGCTGGAGGATCTGAATCACATCTGCATGCCAAATACAGGTTCAGAGTAAGGCTGGACTGGATCAATTGTTAATGGGCATGGAAATGTAGTGTCAGAAGGGGACCTCCTCTCTTCTTTACTGAGGGGGTTGTGGTGCCAGCAGCTTCTGCTCTGTTGTGAAATGTAGTGTTCTGGACATCTATCCCTGCCCCTTTGTTAATGCTGAATTAATGATTTTCCCCTCTCACCCCATCGAAAGATGATGATGGAAATGGCTTCGACAGACCCTGAATGATCAATTATATTAATGCAGGCCTGTGCTGGATATGAAGAGCATTTCTTTAAAAGGACGTAATCATCTGGCCTCAAGCACCACTGTCGTTCTGTGTGTATGTGTGAGTGAGTGTGTTTACAAAACTGTCTCCAGAAGTTGGTTAAACGTGACAGCGTCCTTTCGGGGACATTCCCATTTGGAAAAAACTATTCATAAATAAAAAATGGTATTTTTAAAGAATCCTAAGAATGTAAAAAGATTTCTTGTAGGGTTTAGGGTTAGTTTGTGGTCATTACTATTAACGTTATACCAAAAAACAGAACTCTAGTATGTTCTCTTTTAGATAACTAATAAACATGTGTGTGTGTTTGCTTAGCTACAGTTTGGGGAAAACATTGCGCCCTGAAGTTAGATACACTACGGTTCAAAAGTTTTGGGGTCAGTGAAATGTTTTTGATAGAAGTCTCTTAAAGTCACCAAAGCTGCATTTGTTTGATCAAAAATACAGTTAAAACTAACATTTTGTGAAATAATATTACAGTTTAAAATATATATATTTTTTATTTTAATATATTTAAAAGTGTAATTTATTCCTGTGATCAAAGCTGTATTTTCAGCATCATTACTTCAGTCATCAGTGTCACATGATCCTTCAGAAATCATTCTAATATGCTGATTAGCTGCTCAAGAAACATTTATTATTATTATCAGTGTTGAAAACAGCTGTACTGCTTATTATTTTTGTGAAAACTGTGACATGTAAATTTTTTTCAGGATTTCTTCGATGAATAGAAATTTCAAAAGACCATTTATTTGAAATAATATATTTTGTAACATTATACATTTCTGTACTGTCACATTTGATCAATCTATTGCATCTCTGCTGAATAAAATACAATACAAACTCACTGACCCCAAACTTTTGAATGGTAGTGTAAAAGAATTCAGAAATAAAATAATTTCAGTAATTAATTAAAATAATTAATAATAACATTAATATGTGATATAATCAGTAATATCAATAATATATTTTTTTATTATTCTAAAAAATAGTTTCTTTTATGGGTTAGTCTGCAGTCATTATTATTCAGATTTATACAGAAACAAAAATCTCACCATGTTGAGAACTTACAATTTGAATATCAGCTTTAGATCAAAAAGTTTTAAATCTGCTGATACCAACCTGTTTTATGAGGATTAGGTTTAAGTGTAGAGTTATGATAAAGGTTTAACAAATATCATCACCTTCATATAAAAACTCAAGTGTGTGTGTGTTCTGATTTCACTGTTCATAACTGAAAAAGTAACATTACACTGCAACAGCAAACAAATACAATCAACACAAATCGTGGCGGAAAGTTCAATCCCCATGTGCATTTTCATCAGTTTTATCCCTGCACACTCAAATGTCTTTGTCCTCAGAATCTCGTGATCAAGGCCAACACAGCAATCTGGAAAACTGACACGCTCATTGCACATCTTAAGACGGATCTGAGAATGTATAGGCTCTGCCAAAACAACATGAACGAATGATTAATCACACAGTGAATTGTTTGAGTCCAGTAAGGGAATGTGCCACCTGGTGGTCGGAAAGGTGACGCGCTGTTTTCATTAAACTCCTCACCATGTGACGTAAATCTGCCGGTTTATGTGTGTGTGTTTTTTTGTCACGGGTGCTGAAGAGTCCACTCCTTTCTTTCAGTTCTCCGACCAGAGCTGAGGAGACATTAACAGCCCTGACGTCCTCGTTAGTGGCACCATTTAAACTAAATGTCCTATTTTCTGAGTGCAGTTGTGAGGTGATGTGGAGTGATGAACGAGCCTCGATATCAACTGTGACAGCTATCTACACAACACATCAACCACACCGACGGATAGATGCAGGTATGGA